GTGTGCCTCACTTCAGCTGTACAATACGTCACGTTTCAAGATAAGCATGAATTTCAGTCGTAATTTGTGCATTGATACAAGCCTTTTTTTAAGGACACGCAGTGGACACCACAACGAGCTTTGATTGAAAATACCAGGAAATGTCAACAGTGCCAGCAGGTTGGCCGTTAGCAATTATTTTTTATCCCTGTAAATAGCATATTTCTTGGTCGGATTGAATAATGACCTGATTAAAGGTAATGCCGGTTGCATTTTTGAGTCCGGTTTAGCATTAACTTCTTACCACCCGAGCGCGCGGGACGCATTGAGGAATATATATTGGCCCGGGGTCGTGGCAGTATGGATCGAGGGCAGCGATGTCCGAACAAAAACGACCGAGGGCCAATATTCCCCAGTGCGGCTCGAACAAACTAGGTTAGTTCCTAGTTTATGACATGGCACCGGGGCCATGGTTGTTAACTGCATTTGCCGGGCTTTCTAGAACAGAAAATGCACAGGTTATTGCAGATTCTATTGTAAAATCCCGAACTGAACGAGGAAAGAACCAAGCAGAACGCTTAGCTTTACCCCAAGGCTACCTTGTCATGTAGTAAAGCCGATTAACATCATTAACATGCGATTATCTACATGAATAATTGAAGGTGACTGATGACCTTGAGGAATGGACTCATTTCGTGGGAGCGTATCTATGCAAGGTTGCAATAGTGTGGAGGATTGCATAGTAAAGATGGGCCCACGAGGAGACGCAAAATCCAAATTGTGAGTATTAAACCACGTTTGTAACATGCATGGGGTTTCCCAAGAGCACATGAATTATCTTGTTTTCTAAATTACAAAATGATGATAAGAATCGTAATAATAGTAATAATAGCAATAATAATTTATTATTAATGTTATAATTTTATCGAGCTCATTAAAATTCTTCAATAAAAATTGATATGATAATTTTTCCAACACAAAACTATTTACAATAACGATTCCGCTAAAGGAAGCAAAATGTAGTTTGCAATGACCTGTTTAAAATGTCATAGAAACGTAGCATAAGTATTTGCAGTTTGTGCCATCGATTGTGCGCACGAAGTGATACAAGACAAAAGAAAATTACTCTGAAGCTTTACGATGCACATTTTACTACTACTAATAGTAATGAGGATAATAATAATAATCATAATCATAATAATCATAATAATAATATTAAACATGATAAAAGCCATCATCATTATAATATTGACTGGCTGTTTTAGGTACTGTAACGAATGTACAGAAGATACGATGCATTACGTGTGGTCAACTATAGTGGAAGAGCCCCAACTCTTAATAATCCAACTAAAGAGATTTAACAACAACGGAAAGAAACTGCAGAGAAAAATGAAAGTGACACAGTAAGAATGGATGCATTGTTCTCTGTTCATTGCCTCACTTGGCATACCATTCAATTCCGGGTTGTTACTTTTTTAGTTGCTTTCAATCTTTACCATGAAATCAAGTTGTGTCCTCTTTTATCTCCTTTAGACAGATAGACGTTTCAGCAGTGTGTTCCATTCAGCCGGGAGATAATCTTTCCTACAGTTTAATGGGAGCTATTGTAAGTAGGACCAAAAACATACTAGTACTTCAACTTTAATTCTTTTGGAGGAGCGGTGGCCCTAGCAGTACAAAGAAAAGTGTAATGAAACTTTCGCAACTAACCGTTTTCATTGAAATTGTCATTTTAGTTACGTGAAGGTCAGACCAGCATTTCAGGCCATTGTAAGTAAAGTTCATTACAATTTATAACCATAATTGTTACCGGCAATTTGAAAAAATAATTTGACCTATGCGAAACTGACTATTCCACTTTATCACTTTATGTCTGCATGTATAGACACCTCGCTATTGAAGCTCCAGGGATGCTGGCACTTATTCGACGATGAACGCATTTCAAAAGTTAACGACACTAATGCGGCAGCGGAGCTGGAAGTATGTTGTGATAATTCCTACAGTGTCTATGTTACTCTAGTATTTGACTCTTTAGAAATGTTGTAATGAGTTGTTCGTTATAACGCACTGTCGTACATTTAACAGCGAAGCGCATATTTGCTGTTCTTCGAGAAGAAAACGGAAGTCAAACCACTTTCCAGTCAGAAGCCAATCTGCAAATACTCTCCAATGGAGAAAGGCAAGTGCATCATGAGAATAGTACTGTTAGTGTACATTTCACATCGCTAGTCACGGTTGGTTTCTATCATTTAAAATGCGTTTGACCTTATTTTTAGCCTCAGAAGTTTCTTGCGAAACAAATACATTTGGGCAAGCAGTGGACAGTTCTTCCACGGGGGTTGGCGCAAGCTTTGTAATCTCTTGTTTCTTCTGTGATATCTACGTGTAATGTATGGTGGTTCCACATCCCGTATCATAGGAAATATTTATTGTGTTCAGTCGAATTAAAACCAACCAAATTACTCCTCTTTATTGTCACTCTCACACAGGTCAAAACCGACGATGGCATATGTTGCTTGAATCAAATCATGATCGATGAGGTAAGTTTCTAAGTGTTGTGGCCTCGAGTAAAGTTAGTTTTACGGCAGTTGAATGCCATTTAACGGAGTTAACAACAAAGAGAGAATGCGTTCCCATAGTTGTCAGCGGTGTCTTGATATGTCCATGCACCAGGATTCGGTGAGCTCCTGGACCGAGATGTGTTGACAGCCTCCACAACCGTAGCGTTTACAGTGAGCGTCGTTTTGCATGAGAGCACAACTTCAAGCATTGCCCCTCCCTTCCCTCCCTCTTTCCACTGTTAATTCAGTGTGACGGGTGCCTGTCCACTCTTCCGCGTGGGGGCTAATCGCTCAGTTTCCTGACCAGCCATGGGAGCGTTTTCCATCTAAGAGCTGGCTACCAATAGTGGAAACTCCTGGATGTTTCAAGCACACGACC